TGAAAAATCAGGGGTTAGGATTTGCACCCGGGCGAAAGAAACCTTGCTATCGCAAGAGTAACTCCAGCTAGCTTCGCTAGCTTTCGTGATATACGCCATAGGGGAAGTCCGTTTTCATGATCAGAACAACAAAGTGCCTGATGTGAAACACAGCAGCCAATCTCGGACCTATCTATCTGTGTCTTGTGTCACCACCCACCACCATCACCACCAATCACCACCATCGTCACCACCATCACCACCACCATCACCACGATCTCCACCTTCATCAGCTCTCTGGACCCCAATGCGTCTAGATCTCTAGACTTTCTGCTGCTACACCTCTGGACTTCAAACACACTGTTTGGGGTCTCTTGCCGGGATATTTATTGTTTTTCTTCGGATGAGTTGGCCACAAATATATCCAACTATATGGATCCTGAGAAGGACTTTGTGGTGAGTTTGGGGGGTCTAACTACCTTATGAGGAGGTGGTTGGAGCCCTACAGACTGTATGAGTTGTCCGATGTCCACCAATCCACCCCCCCATCCGCCCCATCTTCCTGGCCTCCTCCCTCGAGGCTCGCGCTTTTTGAAAGCCCTGACCGATGAGGACAGAAGAGGCTTCCAGAACAGCTGGCATGTAGCCAATTTCTTCTCCGTGGTGGAACACCAAACATGGCCAGTGGCTTCTCAGATCTTTGAAAAAGCATCCTCTCTCCAGTCAACATGGAAGTGGGACAACGGCCCCAAACGGAAGATGCTCTACTAAATATGGAGATAGACCATGATAGACTCCCTCCATGATTGTCGGAGGGCGAGCAAAGCCCTCCCCACAGGTGCATGTAGACATGTATATAAACCGCATTTCACTCCTTGTCGGGGAAAAAAATCGCACCTTCAGCATCCGTGGCATCCGTGAGTCTGATGGGTCCGGAAGATTGACCTACCCCATACACTCCGCGGGACTGGAGGACTGCCGCCCCACAACGACCCCCCTGGCGCCCCAACTGATCAGCCCTATACCACCCCGGCGAAAAGCCGGTCATGGGTCGTGTCCGGGTCTCTCAACCGACCTGCAAGCGGTTCCGCATCAGTGGCAGCTGCCGCTGAAGTTCCACCAGCGCCTCATGCTGCTTCTCAAGGTCCTTCGTCAGGTGATCGAAGGAAGGTGATTTCTTACCGCACCGCGCCGGGCACCACGGTGAAAACACCAAGACATGAGATCATCATTAGCCTCCCGACAGACCATGTACATTGGTTTTTACCTGCTAGCAGTCGCATGGAGGGCCTGGGTGGTTTGGTTCCGAATTTGTGGAACGCAGCCATCGTCCTGCCTTAAGCTCCAGCTCCTTTTCCGCCAGCTCTCGGTAGAGCTTGGCATGCGGCGTCGCCACCTGTGCGAGTCGGTGAAGCAATGGAAGCTGATCGTAAACGGGAGCATCTTGGAACTCCTGGTCAAAATGTGTATAATTATTGTTATAAGTATATATATATACACCAGCACCCTCCAATAGGTCTCCTCTCTAGAGGTTTTTGCCGACTTAAAAGTCGCAGGTGCTGACCTGTTGGAGGGTGCTGGTATGTATAATAGAAATTCGATCTATATTCTATTGGGTATATAATAGATATATATATATATTCGGTACCAGTAACCGTGGATGACGATGGTTAGGTTGCTGGAATTTCCCAAAAAAGGATTACAATCTTGTATACCGACTGGTACAAACCCTGGCAATTGGAATCACACTACAAGAATCGTTATTGATTCTTTGATAACATTCTCTCACGCTCGTCCTCACTCTTTTGCAGCATGCGAGCTAGGCAAATCAACAAAACTGCGTCTGAGGCACCAATAGACACCTATAAGGGCCGTTCATTAGAAAGATCTTTTGAATGCCAAGAACTCACAGGTTTTGCGCAACTCAATGTTGCTTGGACCAACCCGATGTATTTCAAGAAAAAACAATATCACAGTTTGGCTGCCAATGTTGGTGTTGCAAACAAGTATGAAATAACACAAACATCTTCTATTACTTATGTACACATACCCCTCAAGCTCACAGCTACATCTGAGTTAATATATAGTGTATGTCCAATGAATCTGGTTGAAACTGTCCTTTGGGTTGTCAACAAGCAGTCGAAAGAAGCTCTAAGGCCCGTTGTGATGGCCCGTGTTCTTCCGCCAAGGCCGTCCCAAGGCACCCACCGGACCGGAAGATTGACCTATATACATTCACCCAGGGTCAGGGAAATATGCCATACATCCACACATTTGGAAACTATATAAGCAAACTCCTACTCTTCTCACCTGGGAATCTGGAGATACACAAAATATCAGTTTTCATCTGACACGAGCTGCCTAACAATCTTAACACGTTCAAATTGCTCAGCTCTGTGCAAACCAAAATCAGGCGTCCTCACTCACAGAGATTTACATCTTCTAGACCCCAGGCAACACCCCAACCCCCTTCTGGAGATATGGTTGGAGCCCCAGCGTTTGCTCATGCTTAGAAATCCCTCAAAAGGTGACCTGCAGATTCTCCACATTTCGCGACCGCCCAGGAGTCCGTTTGTTGGCCTTCGGAGGCATCGGCCCATGAAGCTTCGGCGCTGCGGATTGCTTGATCTCAATTTTTTGAGCTGCTAGGAACAAGAATGCTACTAGGGGCTCCTGGCCTTACTACTAGGAGCAAAGACGCTACTAAGGGTTCCTGGCATCGCTACTAGGAACAAGAACCATACTGTAATACTTGCTCGTGACTCCCTCAGTTTCCCCTTTTGCCAGCTGTTCACATTTAGTCGGGAAACCAAACCCCAATAAAGGTTAAAGGTTAATTATCCACATTCGTCCATATCCTTCCATGACAGTGTAGATGAATAATAGGGACCACAAACAAAAAGACTGCTTGATGGAAAGCCGTCGTTCACGCCCTGTGTCCTTCCATGGATTGATGAAGTGATATGTCCGGCGTCTTGGTGAAACAGCCAACACTTCGGCGGCAAAAGCGGCCTCTCAACTCATAGGCAAGTGCTAGGCTGCTAGAAAGCTTGAACTCTTGCAGGCTTTGTGGCTTGCTAATCACTAATCCCCTCGGACAGGAAATAAACAACCAATAATAACAACAGCGACATCATCGACATCCAGATTGATTCAACGGTGTTATAGAGTCTAACAAAGTCTATCCGCCAGGTTGGCAAACATATCCTTTTCACTGTCGTTCTGGCCTTCAACTTGTGATTAAGCCGCTAAGCCATTATCATCTTCAGTTCTGGCCCAGTTTGAAGAACCTGAGATCAACAACATCTATTTGCCAAAGTGCAACAAACATAACAAACATAATAAGAGTTTTCGTCGATCAACATAACCAACCAGGTTCTGATCGCGAAGTTGCCAAAGAAACTCCAAAAAGACTCGGATCACTGCACGGTCAAAATCCTCACTTACAAAAAGTCTTTGCAACACCTGGGCACCCTAATATCATCATCAACCCTCTCTGCTCATGTCTGCTCTATATGTTGGGTCTTGAGTCTTGAGTGTCTAGCAGAATCTTGAGGCAGACTTTTTTGGTTGCTCAACACCTCTGTGTCCACGTGATGAGTCAGCACGGTCGCCACCCGGCTACGCACCTGGCGCGCCTTGTCGTCGCAGGCGCACCTCTGCAAGTGGAGCAAGTCCAAAGCTCAAAGGAGAAAGGGTTCCAGAGCTTTGGACCGGGTTCCTTTGGGATCTAACTGTCTTGTATCCAAGCCATCACCCAGGGAAATCCACGAGACCTGAGGTGTTCAGTCCCGATTGCAAACGGCATCTATGTCCCAACTCCACGGCCTCCACAGCCATCCAAGGAGAAACTCCATTCTCCAGGCAAGGGCTGAGAAACTCCATCTCTTCACCAGACTTTAAAGCCACCAGACTCAAGCGAATTCACCCACCTTCCACCTGGAAAAGTGAACACCTCCCTGGTTTGCTCCGAAGGAAGACCTGGCTATGAAAGATGGGAGCTATCTGGCTTTCCAGTGTAAGACCCTCAAGTAAATCAATGGTTCTTTGGGATGACCTGGCTATTAATGGTGCCCCATGACTTTTAGGGACCTGGTTTCCACCTATTGGGACGATACGCATCGATCCGCACCATGCCACGGCTGCCGTGCGTGCTGGCGATAGGGCATCTGACTGGGTGATGGCACTAGCAGACCGACGGCGGTTGACCTACCTGGTGGACAGGTCGTTGGCGCTTTGGAATGGACCGATCGGGCTCCAGGTGCACCACCCCCATCCCATCCCACCACCGGTGCCATGGCAGCCCCGGTGCGGTCGTTTCTTTTCGAAGACTGATCGCCGCATCTCCGACTCACCGTCCGACGGCATCACTTGCCAAACATGTTCACGGGGCCCGCAGCCTCCTAGGCGACGGGGCGAACCAACGACACCCGGCGTGCTTTTGGAGATCCGCAGCCAGCAAGCGCGTCGGAAAAAAACACCTCCCCAGCACACTCTTTTGGAGCTGCTCCCAGCTTATCTAGCCCTTCTAGCTGGCACCGTCAGCTGAAACTGGACAATATGCCTTTAACTATTTGTTCACACAAACTTCCAGCACGAAACAAGCCAATCTTGTCAACACATAAGAGCTGGTTCTCAAACACTCACTTCGGGCCAACAAACTGTCCCTAGGTCACACTATATATATGTGTGTGTGGCAGGCCGACCTTCGATTTTAGAAGACCTGTTGCGCATCACATGGAGAAAAATACACAATAATTTAGCAACATTTAGCATCTCCAAGAGTCTAGGCGTTCTTTGATGTACCGGTTCTTCTTGGCACAAAGGTACAGTGCACAGGTTTGCTCTGTGGCCGTCATCTGTGGCCAAAGCTTTTCCCACACCTGCAGGGTGGCAACTCATGCGATCAAACGATCAAAGCGATCGGACGCTACGAACGGGGCGCTCCTGACAACGCTATCAGTGACAAGAAGCTAATGTAGACTCTTGATTGCTAAACACCCCATATGAAAAGGCTTTTCAATCTAAATGGGTGGGGTTATTAATCAAGAGCCTACATTACTAGAAACAAAGGGCATCGCTAGGAACGGAGCAAGGATGCTACTAGTGGTATCCTCCCCCCATCGGGATCTCGAGAGCTCCAAGCGCGTCTCCCTGGTTGTTCCAGCTTCCATCTGGCGGGTCAAAACCCCTGACCCCCTAGTTGACGCACCGAAAATGGACAGAGTCCTCTATAGGGGATGTCAACCTCCAATGGATTGAGGGGGTATGAGGTTTTGACCCACCGCCATCTATGTCAAAAGCGCTTAGATGTCGAACGCTTACTCTGAAATCATCATGGAACTGGAAAGCCACCATCTGTTTGGTCTTCGGAACATGGTCCTCCTTTCGCCAGGCCATCACCTTCGGATCTATGATGATATATGTCAGGGAGCATCATGAGTTTCAACCTATTCCAACCTATTCCAATTACTCACCGACCTGCCGCAAAAGTGACGCGTTGGAACCCGTCTGGACAGATGGCATGAGGCGCTCCACGCACCGATTTTCACCGGATTCATGGCATGGAGCTTCCACCAAGCTTTTGACAAGTCCAAGCAAAAAACCGGTCTTACACTACCCAGAATTGGTTTAAATATTATTTTTAAATCTTAGCCTTCGGGGTGAAACAAAAACAGGGTTTCCTGTAGACTTTCCCTTAAACTAATTCTGGGCTACACGGAGAAACGTCCTTCAAGGCTTACCCCACTCTAAAAAACATCAAAGACAAAAAGGCCCTGAGTCCTACCTTCACTCTAGTTTTGGCACCAGTCGCTGCATGCTGCTGCGCAAACTCAATTGAAGCGCACCCGTCTAAAACTAATTGATTGCATTATGAACGGAAGAAGGAGAGATACAATGAAATCTTCTCTAGAGCGTTTGAAGATGCAGGGTTTCCAGCGGGCAACCTCTCTGTCCTATTGAAATTCCTATTTCTCCTATCTGCACCAATCCAAGCCGCAAATGCCAGACCTAGAACCTGGGGCACATGCTATGAAGTTCCTGTTGCGAAGTGTGACAAGCTAATGTTGACGGCCTATAATCCCGAGTACCTATTTAAAAACGGACCCCAATTTAAAAAAAAAGCATGCCGGATCCCCTAAATTCGGTTTATATTTGGTTTTAAATTGCCGCCCTTTCAAACCGCTACTAAACTACCAACATGGTCGATTTTGGGGGTAGTTTTTTTAATTAGGTTCCCCAAAACTCCACCATGACACGCCGCGCTTACACCAGCAGGCTTTCCTTCCCTCAATGGCACGGACTCACGCAAACGCACTTGCCACCGAGGTCATGCAACACCGCATGGCACAGCGACATCACCTTTCGAAAGCTTTAGCTGTTAGTCTACTGAAGAATCACTATTCTAATGAAGGTTTTTGTAGGGGAAAAGGAAGACCCTTCGATCTGGCGGTTTTTTGCATTTTTGATATGAGTTTAATAAAGGATTTTATATAAAATTTACCTGGATTACTTTTTGGTTTTGAAACTCTTTCCAGGTGACCCTATTTTGGGCCCCCCGATTTCAGGGACCCCCTATTAGAAAAAATGCGACCGAGGTTTCCTTATTAGGGGGGGGGGGGCCCGTGTTTTTTATTAGGTGGACCGGATTATATGTTTTGAAAAACAACTATATAATATAACAAACACATTATAATGCTGTAAACCAGCACCCTCCAACAGGTCAGCACCTGCGGCTCTTAAGTCAGCAAAAGCCTCCAATTTCGCAAAACCTGTTGGAAGGTATTCTTGAATCATGAGTGCCATGTCCACCTTCCGTTCTTCATGCATTTCTCTATAATACTAGCTCAATTGCTCAACCCGTCCACCGGCTCTGCCTCGCCTGCCCCGCACCAGCAGTGCCGCGAACCTGCAAAAACCACTCCGCTGCCGCACGTCGATCAGTGCGTGCGTGTGTGTGTCCCAGAGGATTCATATATAAGCAAGGGTTTGGGGTGGTGAATGTAGGTCATAAGAAGTCATTGTTTGCCTAGCAAATGCATGCAACATGCGCATGTTTTGGTGCGTTCGATGTGGCGGGCAATGCTGTCAGCCGTCAGTTGTCAGGATGTTATCCCTTTTGGCCGCGCAAAACGGAACGGCTGGAGCTGAGGGGACTTGGAACGGAGGTCAGGACCGAACAGCACCGCTTGTGATACCCAGTGATGATGACACTTAGCGTCTTTTTCCCTGAAGCTCCCTACACGTGTCCCGTGACTTCCATCTGCAAGGTTTCGTCAACACTTCAAGCACCCGCACCCATGCTGCGCGGACTCAGAACAGGAACTCACTGGATTCCTGACGCAAAATTGCCCCTGGCCTTCTGAAGGTGCGTCATGGTCCCATCCAACTGCATCACCATCGGGCCCTTCTCGGGGTCCATGGTCACCTCCTCTTCACTTGGCCCCACTGGCACCAACACCGACCTCATCCCATCATACCTGAAACGCGTGAAACGCGCCGCCATGCAGTAAAGGCGACCTCCGGGAAAGGAGGTCACGTCACCAAACTGGGATCACGAGAAGAAACATCTAGTAGCAAAACTGAAAGCATTGTCAATTTGCAACCTGATCTCGATGTCGTCAAACCTGGTCTCCAAATGTTTCCGCCGCAAGGGCTTTGCACAAGTCTTTGATTTGGGTGCAGTGGGGTATAGAGTAGGGACATGCCCTCAAACAGCAGCACTTCCCCCACATGTGTTTATATAGACGGCGTTAAAGGCAGCGGCGATTTCTAGTCGAGACCTCCAGAAAAGCATCGTATATCATCCTATAGTCATCCTTTACCAAAGGTGCATGGTTCTAGATTTGAAGGTCCACGATTGGGTTGCGGGTTCATAAGTCACATGAGCCTACCTGGGCCCAACTTCAAGCACCCTAGAAAATAGGTCACCCTATAAACAAAAGGTGTTTGTACCATCTTGTAACCCATGTCCTGCGGTACATTGAGACTCCTGATACTTATGGCTTTGGCCAAACACGCCGGGCCACTTCCATCTCGAACCCTCAGTTCCGCCCAACAGGGAGATATTGCAAAGGGGTAGCATGACATCACCAACCAAATTCATCGGCTGACGGTCTCCAGGTCGTACCCGGCCGTCTGGGCCTACCCGGTCAGGCCGGACCAGGTGGGCTGAACGACCACCAAGATCTGCATCATCCCTCGAGCAAGTCTTGCCAAGCTGCAGGTTCGACTTGGAAAAGCCCGTAGGCTCATGAGGAACAATCGACATGGCGGCCTGAAACTTTCATCAGTCGACCAGTCAGACTGCTGTTGAGCCACCATGAGCCAAAACAACACAAGCCACACGTCCATGGGTGAATTCTTCAGGGTCATCCATGGTCGTCCACTGGAATAAACCACACCTGAGATGGAAAAGTCGGACACTGACTGGGGCTGTGAATGGAGCCATGGGTCCGGGTGGTTCCGGGTGGTTTTCAGTTGGGTTTGCGTCCTCCAAGTCCCTGCCGATCGGAGAGCAAGTCCCAGGTCCCCTGGTGATCAAAGCAATCGGAGAATGACTAGTCTGCGGCCCGTTACGACGGCCTTCACTGGCTTGCCTTGCCTCGTGGCATGGAAGATTACATGGTTTCAACATCTGAAGTTGTTCGTTCGCATGGAAATGACGAGCCATTGTACACCTTCAACAAATGTGCCCAAAACACAGCCCATGCACGAGACAAACGCACTCTCTCTCTCTCTCTCTCGTGCACACGCACTCTTTGGTTTGTCCAATCGTTTCTTAATCACACCTGCTAAGAACTTGTGAAGGCGGAGAACCAACCTTTTTTAACTGGCAACCCTGGCAAAATACCACCTGGACATCCGTTCAACTTCATAAATGCCGGTCTTGTCTGCAATAGACTAGTTGTTCCAAACCTGTTGGGCCTAGCTGAAAGCTTCACGCAGCAGCTGATTTCATCACCCCACTTTTTGTGACACGTCAGGCTGCGCATGGCTGCGCCACTTGCAGTTCTTGTGCCGCCTTGCTGGCATCACCTCCACTGCGACGACCACCCCAAGTAACGATGGAGCCATCGTACCTGGAGTGGAGCTATCGCTGCAAGGTTTCGAACGTCCTCAGATCCAAACAGTTCCCAGAACAAACGTTGGTCACCAGCGGCTCCAAAAACGACCAAAGCGTTGACCTAGAAACCCTGGTTCCTGATATGTAATTATATTACATTATTTTACATCATACTACATGATTGGAGGGCTTTCTGGAATTTCCAGGTTCCCGTGACGCATAGATGATTTGGGGCCCCTCACAATCAGGTCTTTTGCTTTTTGGCACTCTGCCCCTCAAAGCCTCAAATCTCCAAAGGACACTTTGGCATAGGAATTTGCTACCTGGAAACCTCTGTTCGCACATGAAAGGCCACTCTTCCCGGAAGTAATTCTCCACTCCATGTAATTACTGACTGTCCGGAGGGTAGCTAGTAGATCCTCAGGCAAGGTTCAACTTGTTTGAGTGTCACCTTCTGTGTCGTGTTTGTGTCAGGCTCTGATCATGTGAATGCTTCTGGAGTTGTTCAATGCACTTTCTGATCTCGAGAACCGGCCTGGGTGGGATCCTTCAACCTGACATCGGCATCGGTCAGCCCTTTCTGCTCAGTGTCACTCACGTGTACCACTTGGAAGTGATCATACGCCGAAGTATCAATGTATTCTCTCTCTCGCGATGTATGTATGTATGTATGTATGCATGCATGTATGTATGTATGCATGTATGTACCCAGCATTGTTGGGGCAATTCCCTTCCACAGCGACACAGCGACTCGTACAGATCGCACGGGCCTTCGCCAAAGGTGCAGGACGAGAGATTGATTCATGGCGGCTTTGCGCATGTGACTTTTGAGATCTTTACTTGGGGTTCATTTGGTTGCTTTGACCTGTGGTCGAGCAATACGCTCTATCCACAATCAATCACGTTTCACTGTGGATTCGAGAGCGCGAGTGGTCGTATTGGATTGTATTGGGTCTATTTGAGTCTATTTATTACCCGGGCCCAGTGGATGATGAAGCTTAGGTTGCAGGCCTTCAGTGAATATTGTTTACTGACTATTTTTACAAGTAAAAATAGGACACACCCAATAATATATATATATAATATAATAAATATATATATATTGTAATTATGCGATATACATGTTACTTGTCACACTATATATTGATTTCACAACCCTCACCACCCCAGGCTGGCGCACTTCACGGCCATGAACGCGTTGCAGGTGGAGTAAACTTGATGGACATCTTCTTTAAGGCATTCTGCAACCGCCGAGCCTTGGCAAAACAAAGAAGAACAAAACTACGTATTATACATATCTGGACTCTCCAAAGTACTCCAGAAAATGGGAGTGACATGACCTAAAACAAACCCAAACACTCCATGTATGCCATATATGCCTACATTGACCCCCCAAACCACCCCAATGTAGGCATATATGGCAGTCCCATGGAGCGTCTGGGAAATGTATCTTTACTCATCTGAACCGAGGTTTGAACTGAGACTCCAGGCGGTTGTCGCGTGTGCATCGTACACATGTTTCGGACGGTCGTCGCATCGTTTCTGGTCGTCGCGTCGATGACATGCCGGACACACTCTGTGCGGTGCCACCAGGGTGTTCTGGAGGGCGGTTCTGTCGAGGCTCTGTTCCATACCCCACACCTCCATGTTGTCTGGACATATCTACTAATATATATGGAATCGATGTTTCAACACCCTTTAATTCGGTGCAAATAGGCTACCGGCTAGACCGACGGCTGGAAAGTCCAAAGGAGGCGGTGTTGATCCAACAAGCGCGCTTGATCCAACAAGCAAGGCTTGAAGGTCCATGAAGGTCCAGAATTTCCCTTGATCATTAAACATCTGGTGGTTGATTGGTGTCTTTTTTTGGACGACTCAGTCGGCGCTCGCGCCAGGCAGCAGTTGCCACCTGAATCTTGGACACCCCAAGTGACCTCGGGCGAGTCTCCAAGGAGCGGTGAATGCAGTGGGTTTTTGAACCAATGCACAGGTCTACATCATTATATTAACATATGAAACCCTATGTGAATTTATCAGGTGACGTTGTAAATGGCATATCTAAGACGGAAGACTTCAAAGGGCTTGAAGTTTCGTAGATGAACCCTTTCACAAGTATGTCACTGTGCATCACATGGCAACGACGCAACGACCGTTCGGACCACGTGAAACCACCGAGCACCGACGTGTGATCTGGTACGTCCAGGCGAACACCGGCGAGGAAAAGCCTGACAGGACAACAAAAAAGCGATGCATCAATGGTCAATACCATTGCCAACAAAATACTACTACTGCCACTGCAACTACGTACTACAACAGCAACACCTATGACCACCACTACCACTGCTCCCACTCCTACCCCCATTCCTCCTCCTAGTCGTGCTGCTCCCGCTGCTCCCAGTTCATCCCACCGTGCTGCCACCCCTCCGCCAGCCGCCACCGCAGCAAAGGCATTGTCCGTGGCACAAAGCTGTCGAACCTGGACGAGGCGCTGCTGCACCGCGCTACCTCACAGGCAGTGAGCCCGTGCCGGGGCCCCAAAGATGGTTCAAAAAACTCTGAAAGACATGATCTGATATTGGGGAACCCGAAAGAGATCTTTTTGGACTTTACCTTTGGAATAAGTATAGTCTTTTAGACTTCGACTTTCGACTGGGCTCCATGTGACTGAAAAGCCCTCCAATCGATGAGTGTTTCCTGGTGAGATGTGTTTTGTGTTTCCCGTGTTCACCGCCTGTGATCGGGTTCAAAAACAGCGTCCTGGCCCCCCTTGGCATGTATAGTACAATATATTGTTATATTATATATATATACCAGGACCCTCGGGCTCAACAAACCTCAACTAAAGACCTGATGGAGGGTACTGGTATGTGTGTGTATGTATGTAGGTATGTATGTACGTACGTACGTAGGTAGGTAGTGTATTGTATTGTATTGTAGGTAATGTAACCATATGCTATGTCGTGTTGTGTTACATCATGTTATATATGCAAAATGTAATGCAATCTCATCTAATCTATGTATGCTATGCTATGCTATGCTATGGAATGGAATGTATGTATGTACATACCAGCACCTTCCAACATGTCTCCTCTGGATACTTTAGTAAACTCAAACGTCGCAAGCGGTGACCTGCTGGAGGGTCCAAATATATATATATATGATATATGATTAGGTGTATGATAATTTCTTTAAATGTATGCATGAATGACCTCGTGTCAAACAACAATGTAGGTACACACACCGCACATGGGTGGATGCTTGATGAAAGAGAAACGCACACAAGAATGAGTGAAGAGGTGGGGAGAACATGAGAAGACTCACTGGCACAATTGCCAAAATTTACACCCACCTCCATTTACGTAAGGTTTTTTTGAATCTTGAAGGGTCACCCCATATTTTCAAGCTTCAAATCACAAAGCCAGGTGCTAAAGATTACTCAAGACTAATACATGGTAGTGGAATCAGGAACCTGTTGATGCTAACACCAAACCTCCTGCCTCGCATCTTGTTTGGAAAACCACTCGGGAAGACCCAAGAGCCAGGAATCTCAATCGGGATACCACACCGATGTTCCAAATTTAAGCAAATGTCTCTCTCACTCTTAGCTGACTCTAGCTTCTAGTGCTCTCTCTATCTCTCCTCAGCCATTCCAGTGCCATCCAGTTAGTTCCACTTCTTGGTCACCCTATACACTTACTTCCCTCCACCGACCCGCTTCCCACCGCACCTCCCCAAGATAGAAACAAGATGAAACAAGACACCCAAACACTCCTGCACGCAGGACCCAGGGGAGTTGGGTGCCTCAAAAAACCACCACATGGGTCTCACAAAACCACCACATGGGTGTCTCCTGGCCTCATTCTTCCACCCCTACCCTCACCGTCTCTGTCGCAAATACCGTCCGGTCCCGCCGCGGCACTGTCGCCCCCGCGGTTCCGATGGCCCCAGGTGATCACGTGCCCGGTGGTGTGGCAGGCCGCGAAGGCGAGACAGGTGGACTGGACCTGCTGGAAGGGACCCCGCCAGAGCCTCGGCGCCACGACCCCGACCGATGGCCTATAGGAGCTTCTTGTTCCTAGGAATGGGAATGGCCTCCAACCCAATAGCAATGGCCTCTTCCTAGTAGCTTCTTGTTCCTAGTAGGCGTTCGTATTCTTCAACTATTAAACTGAATATGACATAGGAAGTCTCGGAAGAGCACTGTG